ACGTGGTGCTGATGAGACGCTTTTTCATGGGAACCGAGCGAACAGGTACTTTGATACAGGGAACTGCTTTCGGCGCCTTAATACCTTTTTCCGCTGACTGAAGAACTTGACAATAACCAACTAGTTCTCGAAGGCGGAATAATCTTAGTTCATTCGCGGAATAATATGTGTTCAGCGCAGTAATACAGGTGTCCAACGGTATCCGCGACCGAGGTGGCACAAATCTGCAACCTCCAGGATGAGCGGTCACTAGTCATCAGTCAGTCGTTTAGTCTGCCTGAATCTATGTCGTGTCCGAGCTGTCTTGCATCGTTATTAATTGTCTCCTAAGACTCATTCTCGTTGCTGTCCCATCTCTCTCTCTCAGTTATAGAATCAGAAGTATTGCATCAAATAGATTATTGTACTGGGTTAGAATTGCTTTCATAAATAGGATTAGTTTGTAAAAGAGACTGTCAGGGCCATTTCGGGTAACTCCCATGCTTTGGGGACGCCCAATAAACAATTAGTACCGTAATTCACGTGTATTCTTCATTCACTGATCGACCCACACCCTTTTCATTATCTAAGTATTTTTCAGTGAGAAGCTGAGCTAGTCCGAAGGTCTGTTTATGTGACAGGTAAAAGACCAGGTGTAGGCTCACACGTAACAGAAAAATTGGCTCCCAACGTGGTTGTCGCCTAGCTAAGTGAATTGAGTGAAGTGAATTGTGCGGAAAATTTAGTGGTGAGTACCCAGAAATCGGCAAATCTGAGATCTCTAAGAAATACCCGGGTATAAAAGTAAGGATTACTGAAGAAAATAAAAGTGAAATTGAAAAAGTGAATTGAAATAGAAAAAGTAAACTGGAATAAAAGAAGATAATTGAAATTAAAAACGTGAATTGAAAAAAAATGCCATTCGGCAGCCTAAATGGAAGTAGATTTTTCAAATAAAGAAAATTGATTTTTAATGAAATTATATAAATACTTATAATGTATAATTGAATTTATGAATTAAACACAAAATTCAATAGTAAATTTAAAACCATTTAGAACAAATTTCGGAAAAAAAATTATCTCGTGAAGAAAAAGTTTCTCGAACATTTATCAAACAATTGCAAAGATTATAAGATTTGAATTATAAATGTTTAAATTTTAAGTAACTGCTTAGTACGAACATTTTTTAAGTTAATCTGAATTTTGAAACCGGATAAAATTTTAATCGAAGAAAACAGTATTTAGAACTAATTTGTGACATATTTACTGACGACCTACTGAAAACATTACAGGAAAGACTGATTAATATCGTAATTATTGAATTTACATCATGATTAAGCTATGATGAGGGACAATAATTCTAAAACGGCTGCAACAGTAAAACGGTTTCATTAAACGAACTCTGAAAGACGTAATATTGAAACTATTACTACTTCTGAGTAGTGGAAATTGAAGCTTATTAAAAGAGCTCCACGATGCATTTGACCGGATTTTAATATCTTGTCTAGTTCAGTGATTATACCAAGTTGAAGTAGTAAAAACAGCAATATTTACGATTTTTAAAATTTCAAAATCCTGTCATTCTTAAATTACTCGCCCGATTAAGCTCATCTTCGAACTTAACCTTAGTCTTGATCGATAGATAAAGCATGTTGAGTTTGAGAAGAATCGGTTATAAATAGAAAACGCTATCGTGCTGACAAGCCGCGTTATATCGTATAAATATATATATATATGTCGGAGATAATATCGAGCTGGGTTTTCCCAGAAATAGGATATTGCCAATATTTCAGTTTGTCTGTTAGTTTTAAGCAAAATTGTAAAGCATAGAATATTTAATAATTATTTATAACTTAAGCCGATTATAATTTTTATGGTTATGGCGATGGGCTTGAGTCCGGAGTGACAATGGTCACCAAACGTAGCCGAGGTCACAGGATAGAAGTAAAAAGTATACAGTTAAAGATATCGACAGACAATGAGGGCTGTCGAAATATTTTAGAGAGAAGTACTTAGGGTACTTAGACGGATAGTTCTCGTTGAGCATTGATCAAGTAAAGATCCCATATATCCTGCTGACCTCAGATTCGTTCTCGGTCTTATTCCTCAGCGCTTTTACCTTGTATATTAATTATGTTTGGATAATTAATTGTAGTATTGTTTATACAAGTTAGCGTACATTATATTTCAAAATTTAGATCAGTGTTATAGTTTAATTATTCTAAATTAATAAATAATTGAATAAACGAATCCAACGGACTGTACTAACGCCCCTATTAATGCTTTTCCGACATCAGAAGTGGGATCAGAATCATTTGCTGCATTCTCCTCTGAGTAATTTAAAATTGTTTTTGGGAATGCATAGAAAAAGTCTTGTGAAGCTAATGAATAAGGCTATCACAAAACCGGCGTCATTGAATCGTAGTTTTTCTCTACCAAAATTTAACCCGGTGAAATTTCAAACACTGATTCGTTTACTTGGTGTGTGACAGTGAATATGTGTTTAGTGGAACGTTTTCTGGAAGATAGTTCGTTATTATTCCATTAAGTGAAGCTCTTGAGGGAATCTCAGGAGCTGTGAGTAGATTTTTGCCCCGTTGCAGCTCTGTCAGGTTCTGTGATACATCGTGGTGAGTCGTTTTCATTTTGGTTTAATTCAGGAGCGGAATGCTCATTGATTAGAGGACGTATTGCGACTAAGATCGCGTGAAAAGGGAAAATAATTTGATAATTATTGAGGGCATTGGAAATGTTAGCGTGAACTGTATTATACGAATTTTGTTTGGCATAACTATTAAAAGCCATAAGTTAAAGATACTTTCTCATACTATTGCAAACGATTATTTAAAATGTGACGTATTGGTTAGTCGTAAAATTCTTGGGCAAGAATTTGATGTAAATATAACTTAAAATAATTTAACTTATCTGAAAGTAAACAGGTTAATACGTGTAATAAACTTGAATCTATTAGTAAATTACATTTTTAATGCTTGTTGATACTGACGTAATTAGAGATGATAAAGAGAAACTCATTTTTGATCTTAAAAAAATATACAGATTCATTTATTCAGGGGTTTCCAAGTACTCGTGTTAATACTGGGGTACTCAAAATACGTTTAGTTGACCCTAATGTAACTGTAAAAGGGCGACCGTGTCGTCTTAAGCATTGAAAAAAGGCAGGTAGTAAAAGAAAGAGTAGATGAACTATTGAAAGCAAATGTTATAAGTTCCAATCGTTCACCTTTTACAGGCCCTTTATTATTGGTTGAAAAGAAAGATGGTTCGGATCATCTATATGTTGATTATCGTTCATTAAATGATAATACGATTAACGATAAACTTTTATTACCCCTTATTGCTGATCAGATAACCCGAAATTCTAATGTAAAATATTTCACGTGCTAAGACATAGCTAGCGGATTCCACCAAGTCCCTGTTAAAAACAGAATCGATTGAACAAACGGTGTTTGTAACGTCTGATAGAAAATATGAATATTTGACCATGTCGTTTGGCTTAAAGAACGCATCGTCTTTCTTTTAACGCGCTGTTGTAAGAGCCCTCGGATAACTTGCGTATACATACGTCATTGTGTGTATGGATGATAGATCTGCGGGGGAGTCCAAGACAAAAAACTTTCTTGGCTCGAGACTTTACTGAACTTGGTTTGAGTAAGCAACATTCTTCGCTCGAGAACATTCTTTATTGTATCAACGATGATTCGGATCAGTAGATTTTGAAAAATCGAAAAAAAAAAAGAAAAAAAAAATATTTCACTAAATTGAGTATAAGCTGGAATAATAACATATGCGCGTTGAGAATAAATTTTTTTTTTATTATTTATTATAATTAAACGACATTGAGTTAGATAGTCATTTAGGTCTCAAGTATCTTTTTGACAAAGCGAATCTATCTTAAAGAAAAATATGTAAGTAATGAATTTTCGAATTATTGTGTTTCCAAGTTACACACAGAAAAAAAAATTTCTTGACTGGAGAACAAAATTCTTGGCTCAAGAAAATTTTCGGGTGCCTGAAAGAAGACCGAAGTTGTGTTGGCCAAAGTAAAAATTTTTCTTGAAATTCTATTGTTGGTGGAAGTCATTTTTTCTTCATTCAAATTATCACGAATAGGTACTTGATACAATAAATTTTTATATTTGATCAAGATTTTTAAATACTTTAGAGAAGCAGCGCCACTTACTTCAGCTGAGAAAAAAATTTTGTCACCTTGAGAAAATTTTTCTCTTGAATAATATTTGATACCCATTTTGTATAATTTTAGCGTACAATTATACATATTGAATGAAAAAAATGATTCAATATTATTTGATCTTCCCATTTAACATGTTAATCAATAAAAATATTAATGAAAATTTACTTCTATCGAGATATTTAATTTTTTGGAGCAAGAGAGAAATTTTCTCAAGATACGAAAATTTACTTCTGTCAAGAACTAAATTTTTTGGAGCAAGAGGCTTAATTTTCTTAAAACAAGAAGATATTCTTGACTTAAATAAACTTTCTTGGATCAAGATACGTATTTCTTGAAGCAAGGGAATTAATTATGTTGGAATAAGTGAAATTTCTTGTGTCAAAAAAAATTTTTTTTCGCTCAAGAAAATAATTAGGAAGAAAAATATTTTCTTTGCTCAAGTGAACCTTTTTTTCTGTGCACACATTTTTATACTGCTGGGTATAAGAAGGAAATCTTTGGTTTATTTTGACATTCTTTTTTGTTTTTGTTATACTTAGAAGAATTTTTGAAAATTCAAGGATTAGTCTTCATTTAATTATGTATCTAATGGTACAGAAATTGTTTTGGCCGCATAAACTAACAAGAGTGTAACTATAAAGATAGTTATAGAGAAAAGGCGATCAAAAATTTCAAGTAACGCACGATTGCCACTTAAGCTTTTATTATCTTTAAAAATCACATACTTTTTCACCGTAAAATAAGTAATACAAGATTTAAAACACCCAGTAACCTAAACTGAAAAGTTATGTAAGTTTTCGTATAAATTTTACTTTTGTAAAGAAGAAAACTTACCTATGTATTCAATTAACGAAATCTTTCCATCTCCATCCTTATCAATGTCCTCAAGTGTCTCAAGAACGACAACGTCTTTCATGTGTTCACGTTCCTCAGGATGCAAGAAACCAGTGAACTCCTCTTTGGTTAGCGCATCGTCGCCATCTTGATCTGCGACAGTCCACCTTCGACGGTCGCGCTTCAACATCACCGCGTAAGAGTAATTGTCGTCGCCATCGTGAACTTTTGGGTCGTAGTCTTTCTCCTCCATGAAACCATAGACCATTTTCTTGTAAGTTTCCCAGGGAATCTTGTCTTCTGTCTCATCTGTGCTGTAAGACTGCCATTGACGCTCAACGTCGTCCCGGATATAGCGTTGCTGGGTGTAACGGATCCAGTCTTTCAGCTCTTCCTGGGTCACGAATCCGTCATTGTCCTTATCGATCTTATGGACAATCAATCCAAGACGCCGGGAGCTTTCTTCAGGAGTCAATTGGTCGAAAGTTTTTGCTTCTTCGCCAAGAAATGCTTCGTGGTCATATGCTGGGTTGTGGTGGGATTTTATGAAATGTTCTTGGTCACTTAGTTCCTGGAAAATGGTTGAAATTATGAAATCAATCACATAGAGTAAATTATTGAAAAAAATGTTTAATCATTTTTCTACAATAAAATTTTCTTATATCTCTCTCAGTGTTTTAATGTAGGCACTATAAGATAACATTGATCGATTGCGCGCGTAATTTGAATTATGTAACGCTCTGTGTCACTTTGAAGAAGTTAAAGCGTTAGACAAAGATGGAAATAAAAATTCAGATGAAAATTAAATTAGCAGACATCTAAAAATTTTAATAATTGTTTTTTATTTAAAAAATTAAAAGAAAAAATTTCATCTATAGAAAATTTAAAAAATTATACGTGCAATTTTTTTCAAGAATTTTTTTATTTGTAATTCAATTTATGAAAAAAATAGAAAATTGTTGAACGTAGGCTAATTTTAGTATCATAAATTTATACTTAATTTTTTTAAAAATTATTTTTTCACAAGAACACAAAGTTGTTTGAAATCTTATCACGTTAAAAATTAAATGAACTGAAGAAAAATTACTTGGTTTAAGAAGAATATTTTTCTGCCCTCCGGCCGGAAAGTGGCAACTTATATATATATATATATATATATATATATATATATATATA